TTTTTCTGTAGTGGAGATTGAACCCAGGGGTACTTTACCACTGAGCTACAACCCAAGACCTTTTCACCTTTTATTTATTTATTTACTTATTTTGTGATGTTGGGGATTGAACCCCAGGCCTTGTGCTTGTGAGGGAAGCACTCTACCAACTGAGCTATATCCCAAACCCCCCATCTTTCATTTTGAAATAGGGCCTCACTAATTTGCTTAGGACCTCACTAAGTTGTTGAGGCTGGCTTTGAATTTGCGATCCTTCTACCTCAGCCTCCTGAGCTGCTGGTATTACAGGCATGTGCCACTTGCTCAAGGTGCTTTTTACTTTTTGTTTTGAGACATATCTTGCTAAGTTGCCCAGGCTGACCTTGAACCCTGATCCTCCTGCCTCAGACTCCTGAGTAGCTGGGATTATAGGCATGTGCCTCCACACTGTACCCACCTGGCTACATTCCAGTTTTTCTGAGCCTGTATGTTGGACATTAAACCATTTGACCTTCACACTTTACCTCATTTAATTCTTACAAAAACCCCGAACTGAAGTTATATTCATTTTACAGATTTCAGAGTTGGTAAGTAGCAGAGCTGGGCTGATATGATGCAGGGCACCTAATCCTGCTGGGCTGCCTCCTGCTTGCAGCTGCAGGATGCCTCAGGTGCCAAGAAAACTCACATGGTACCTCTTGGGTCTGATCAGTTACCTGTTATCTCTCTTCTTTAACCTCAGTCTTCTTCTCTGTCAATGGGGGTATCACACTAGATCAAACGGTTTTTAGTAATAGAATGCTTTCCCTAATTAAAATCTCATTCTAAAGACTGGTGTAGTGGGCTGGAGGTGCAGCTGAGTGGTAAAGCTCTTGCCTAGCATGAGTGTGAAGCCCCAGCAGGAAAAAAACTGCTATAGTATGTGTGTGTGTGTGTGTGTGTGTGTGTAAGAGAGTAGAAGGCTCTTAGCTCTGCTTGGGGATATCCCTCTTCATTTTCTTTATGGTGAAGTTTTGAGTGGTTTGAAAACCACATAAGCAGACCCCCCCCCAAAAAAAAGGGCTCCATCCCTGGTGTATGAGGAAGCTGTATGGGGGGGCTAGGTGAAGGGGAGCCTCTTACCCCTTTGGGGCCAGAACCTGGCCTCATACAGACAGGTGCAGGGGCCACCAAACTGGATCGTCTCTCAAGTCTATTGACCTTAGAGAGCAGTGGGGTGAGGGTGGAGACACAATCTGGACTACCAGAGGTGGGAAGGACACAGAGGGCCCCAGGCTGGCCTGGGAGGGGACCTGCTCAGGGGACAGGAAGGCCTGCAAAGGCTGCAGTAGGTACATGAAAGTCCCAGAAGAATGTGGGCAGATCCTAATAGAAAAGCTCTAAGTCTTGTGTTTTAAGAACCTTCACCACCTCGGGCTCCTGTCCCCATTCCTGATCATTCTATTTCCAGTACAGAACCTCAGAATACTGAAACCCAAGTACCTGTGAATCTCCAACTATTAGAAACATAGAACTTCAAATCTGAATGGTTTTAGAATCCCAGATTCTCAGAGGTTTCCCAGAAATAACAGACACATAAACTCCTGGTAAAGATGACCCAAGAGAAAGTCATGGAATCCAGTGATGCTCACAGGCCAAGCAAGGCTGGGATCCTTCACAGAATGGGAGCAGCTGGCTGGCCCCCTCCTGGCCCCTGGCCCAGCTCCAGGGGCAGGTTCTCAGAGGAGGAGCACTGGCTGAATAGGGACACCACCACCCCAGGCACACGTGGGAACAGAAAACTTGGAGCCCCTAAGAGACCATCTTGTTCCACAGACTCTGCAGAGCCCTACCCCTAGGCAAAGAACCACTGTCATAGCCACAGCCACTGGAGAAACCTGAGCTGGCACTTCGGCATTCCTGATTTCTCTGCACCCATCCTTCCTTCACTACGACAGAGCTCCTCGAGGCAGGGAGTGTAGGAGTCACCCCTCAAATTCCCTATAAAAATGCTCAGAGGAGACAGTATTGAACCTGTCAGAGCCACCAGACCTTTAAAAATCTACTGCCCAGGATACAGATTGGGAGACTGAGGCCAGAGACCCTCTCTGGGTCACAGAATCCTTATATACCACCATCTCCTGGATACCTTTAAAAACTGCATTTACATCTAAGGACACAGGGGGCCCTAAACCTTAAGCTTAGGAAGGGATGTTGAAGGAATTTCCAAGTGAAATTTTTTCTCCCCTTGCCCATTCCTTCTCCCTACAGAAGATATATGTTCCTTTCTGGGGACCTGGATTTTATGGCAGCCAATTCTGCTCTTTGGGGCTATCCTCCCACTCCATGCACCTCCCCATCAGTGGCCCTAGTGGGTCAGGCCCCCAGCGCTACTGCAAACAGCCCGACCAGGCTGCAAACAGCCTCAAGGAGGCCAAGGAACGATTCCTCCCACATCAATATTTATTGCCTGAGAGCTGCTGGAAGCAGATCATCATGTTCTCGGCCTTCAGTTCTTTTTTAAGAACCTCTCACCCCCTACCCTCCCCATTCCCATCCCTGATGTGCTGACAGAATAAATGCAGACAGCCAGACAGGTTCACAGCCGGGGAGCTGGGGAGCCAGAGAGCCGGGGTTTCAAAGCATCATCACACGCAGCTCTCAAAACCCAACTCTGGGAATCGCAGCAGCTCCGACTCGGGACTGGCACATTCTCGGAATCTGAGGCACAGGGAGTGTTGCTCCAGGCACCTCACACACCAGTGTAGACTGGGAAGTGGCTTGTTGCTCAAGGTCGTACTGCTGACATGTGACCCAGCCTCACACAGGCAGCCCCCTTGCTTCTTCCACCTATCTACCCCATGGCCCACTGGTGTTCTCTTTCAAATTTAGGCTCCAACTCAAGAGTATCTGACACAAGCAACCCAGCCTCTTATCCTCCTCTGTGATCACGCTCACTTCTGGGAACTCCTCCCCAATTTCCATTTCCTCCAAACTTTGGCCCTGAGCTAGGCAGAACCGGGAAGGAGAATGTGAAGTCCCCAGTTGTCTTCTTCCCCTGAAATTGGTCCTTCCCCACACCTGCTTCTGTCTCTGAGACAGTGCACCCAGTCCACGCCTCACTCTCTGGGGCCTCCACAGCACAGCGGCACCCACATCTGGGCAGTCCCACTCCCAGGCAGCACGTGGATCCAGCCCCATCCCCTCACTACCAAAGCGCTGCTCCCTGCCTGCTCCACTGTGCAGCTGCTCACCCACCACCCGACCTCCACACACCCCTGGTCGTCCACAGCCCTCTATCTACCCAGCACCCGAGGTGGACCAGAGGACCCTCTGCTTATACTTCTTCCAGGCTACCTGCTGCCCCTGAAGCCACCAGTAAAAACTGTTCTGGCCCCTGCTGGCTGTTCCAGCCTGTTTTCTTGGGTCCGTGTCCACACCCTCTGTTCCAGCCTGGGTGGGATGGGAAGGTTCTGTGGGGCAGCTGGGCCAGGAGTCAGGCAGGCTTGGGTTCAAACCCCAGCCTCCCCAGGCAGAGACACTTCCGGCCTTCATCCTGGCCCAACCTTCCTTGCTCTAAGGAGGCCCATGCAGCAGCCGACTTGCCACGTGAACCAGAACTCTCCTTGCTGCAAAATATCCAACAGGATTTTTGAAATCGCCCTTCAAAATTAGAATTACTTAGCAACAAGTAGCTTACTTAATTTATGATTGTGATTTTTCAACAACTGCTTTCTATGCTTGGGAAAAGAGGAAATCTATTGCATAAATTTTCAGGATGTAACGACATGTAGTGTGATTGTTAAAGAAGAATTGGTAAAGTTGACATTAGTGACATAAAATTAAACTTTTAAAAAGCATTTCTTTTGCTGGGCATGGTGACACATTCCTGTAATCCCAGCAACTCAGGAGCCTAAGGCTGGAGGATTACAAGTTCAAGGTCACCTTAGACAACCTTAGTGAGACCCTGACTCAAAGTAATATAACAAGGGCGAAGGGTCTAGCTTAGTGGTCACATCCCCTTAGTTGATTTCCCAGTACTGAAAAAATAAATAAAACGAAAAGGGCTGGGGGTGTAGGTCAGTGGTAGAGAGCTGGCCTAGACGCTCAACGTCTTGGCACTGCAAAGAAACCCAGGATTGCAAAGAAAAGAAAAAAGCATTTCTTTCTCCTCCTCCTCCTTCTGTCATTTTCTTTTTCATTTGGAGTCAACTTATTGTCTTTTATACCTTGTGTTTTTTGTGAGTTACTAGAAAACGTGGAGTCCCCTGGCTCAGGATGGTCTCTCCCCTCCAAGGCTCGCAGTGTCCTGCCTCTCAGCCAGCTTTGTGACCTTAGGCAAATCCCTGCACCTAGTTAGGCCTCTGAGAAGCCCACCCGCTCTGAGAGCTCAGCAGGACATTTGGTGGCTGTCCCTGTGCATCCTGCCCACTGCTGGTCCTCACCCAGGAGTCTTCTCCTTGCCATATTATGCCCGCTTTAAGGGTAGAGACCGTGTACTGACCTCCAATGTCCAGTCTGGATCCTGGCCCAGAAGAGGCACTCAGTGCACATTTGTCCCCTTCACTATCCCCAAAGAGGTCAGGTTCACTTCTATAGCCAACCTCTCTGTCCTCCACCTAAATGGCTGCCCCTCTCATTTCTGGGCTTCCACCCATCCTTCACATCCAGCTCAGGTCCTTCCTCTTCCAGGAAATCCTCCCAGACCCATCCTCTGTGCCCGGCAGTCCTTAGCCTTCCTACAGAACATTCAGAATTTACAAAACTAAGTGAACAGCTCAGAAAGACGTGGACTCAGGCAGGCCTGGGCACTCCCTTGCCAACTTGGATCCTGGGTAAATCACTTCCAGTTCTGGGCCTAGAGCTCCTCAGCCATGGAAGGAGCTGATGGCACTGGCTGTGGGGCTGGGGAGGTGCCCCGACAGAAAGGATCTTGGTAAGCTTGACACACAGGGCCCCGGAGGGAGGACGTTCACTGCTATAGAGGAAGACACATAAGTGGAGGGTGGAGCCTAGGCTAGGACAGGGACACAGGGGCTTACCTTGCTGACAGGTGACGATGCATCTGCCAAGAACTTTCGCCGGCACCTAAGCTCATGCGTCTCCTTAGGCATCTCCCTGGGGAAGAAGAAGTAGGGGCTGGCAGCCAGTGCCACCATGCCAGCAGAGATGAGGAAGCCCAGCCACCAGGCACCCACCCATCGGGGGTCTTTTGAGGTCAGGTTGATACCACCTGTAAGAGAAGACCATGGAGACATTGGGGTCAGGTGGTCTGACACATCTAGGTCACCACCCTGGGTCTGGCTTTTGAGAAATAAGTCAGTGCCAGCTCAGAGTCAGGAGACCTGCCTCCTGGTCTTGATTCTGCCATTATGTCCTGTGTGACCTTGGGCAAGTCCTTGACCCTTTATGGGCCTTAGCTTCTTCACTTCTTCTGTGCAGTGGTCAAGATCATGGACTTTGGAAATGGATTACTGGGTCTGGATTCCATTACTACTTATGACCTTGGGCAAGTTATTTCACTTCTTTGAGCCTCAGTTTCTTCCTGTGGTGACATACAGATATTAGTAGTTTTAGGGGGAGTGCTGAGGATAATAGCTTTTTTGTTTCCTATCATAGGGTTGTTGGAGGATTATGGAAACTAATACATGTAAAACTAAAAGAAAAATTTAATTAAATTTTTTAAAAAATCTACCAAAAAATACATGTACTTAGAAAAGTAGATATATTATATAAATATTTGCTCCTCCTCTTCTTTTTCCTTCTCTTCCTATTACCATTACTTTTTTGATTATTAATATATTAAATAATGGTTGGGACTCAGGCCTACATGAAATTCCGGGGCTGCTGGTCAAAACTACTTGGCTTCCCAGAAGTCCTACTTGGAATGACCAAGAAGTGGGGTGGGGGGTGGAAGGTGACCGAGGAATGTGCACCTTTAACAAGTTCCCTGGATGGTTTTGATTCCCCACCAGGCTTAATTAGGATTGGATTATCCCTGATGTACCTGCTGGCTGCAGTGCACAAATCTGCCCTGGGACTTTTTAAACCCAGGCTGAGTTGGGGACCTCCCCCTTCAATATCCACAGCATCTGCAGATATTTATAAAACTGCAAATGCATGATAACAGCAACCACCAGTTGTGCAGCTGTTTCCCCAGGTGCTTCGCCTTCAGCGGCTCCTGGGCAGGGGCCAGGGCACCCAGTTGGCACCCAGCAGTCTGGGAGAGCTGTGGCTTTTGCATTCACAGGACTTGGTTTGTTCGTTGCTTGTTATCTGCCTTGCCTTGGTGCCAGGCTGTGGCGAGTTCACACGCACAGCTCCTCGACTCCCCCGCTCACAGCATCAGTCTGTGCCTGAAGCAGGCAAAATCCTCCCACCTTATGAAATCCCCCATAAAGAAAGAGGGACTTGGGAAGTGGCATGTCAGTCCACAGAAATGTGTCATCTGCCAGTGGAGCTGCCTCGTCTTCCAGGATGAATGCACACACTGTCAGAAAACACATCCTCTTCCTCCAGAGCAGAGGTGTATCTGGCAAACCTAGGTAACCCCTGACTCCCAGGGAGGAGAGGGGTTGCAACCAGAGCCCAGGTCTGGCTTTGGGGCTAGAAGAAAGGGAGGCAGGGCATGACTGATCCTAGTGACTGCTGTAGAGATCCCCAGACCCGTCCTTGCTGAGGCACCCATGGATAAGAGCTAGAGAAAATCCAGCCAGCCATGTGCATGTCACCCAGGGCTTCTAGGACCTGCTGGAAAATCTCCAGGGGAGGTAGAGAACTTCTGAGCAGCAGTAGGCAGAAGGCCAACCTGAAGCTCATAGCTGCTGGTGTGATAAGCAGGGACATGAGAAGCCACAGTGACATGCTCTAACAGGAATACCCTTCTATCCCCTCCCTGCCCCAGAGCTCCAGAGCTGTGGCAACCCCAACACCCGTCCCTCTTGCCACCTCAGACCAAGCTAGAGCCCCAATCCTTGGTGCACTCTGACCTCTAGCTGGATCAGAGACTACTGTTTCCCAAATGGTGCCCCCAGCAATTTCTCAGAGTCTGAGGTGATCAGAGCTAGAAGGTTCCCTAAGGCCCCCCCGGCATTGTCCCCCTCAAAGTGACACATGAGTCACTGAGCCCTGCTCATTCTTTCGTTGTCCTCTCTATTCTGCCTGAAACTTGTACCCCATTAAATATGGGAGCTCCCCACAGGCCAAGAGAGCCAGTTCTCCTCCTTGTCCACAGCAATAGCGGGCCAGGGTGGTGGCCTGGAGGTGGATGGGCAGGTGACAAGGTGAAGGCTTGTGACAGCGAGCACAGCTCTCATTAGATGGCACTTTACAGTTTCTCTTCACTACCTCACTGGATTCTGGTTGCAGCCTTGGGAGATAGGACAGAGACGACCTCAAGGATGAGGAGGCAGAAACTCAGAGGGGGTAACAGGTCAGTGGTGCAGCTGGGTTTGAACTTAGGTCCCCCATAAGGCAGTGCCCTTGTCACTCATTCTGAGGAGGGAGTACTGTCAACTATACAACCAGCAGTCAGTGAGCTAGCTAACATTTGGGGACAAATGTTCATGCCTGAGACTCACCTTCTGGCATCCGGTCAATGTCCACATAAAGGCGAAGCATGAGGCTGCCCAGCCCATAGGCCATGCCTGGCCCCATCATGGTCACTGCGAAGAGGATCCCTGCAACACAAAGCCTAGGTTAGGACCTTCTGGCCCTGGCTTTCCTCAGCAGGTCGGGGCCTGTCTAGTCCTCAGTGGGCAAGAAGTGCCCACTCCCACTCTCAGAGCTGGGGACTCTCCAGGGCTTCTCTGGACCTTTACTGGCCTGATGGGGTGGAGGTCAGGGACTCAACACCCAGCCCCCACCCCAGGCCTCTCTTTCTCCTACCTGATATTGGCCTGACCCTCAGAGCCCAAGGAGTTGGTGGGTCCTCACCAAGGTAGAGGGGTGAGTTGCTGTGGTGGGCAAAGTCATCGATGTAGGAGATGCCGAAGGGCTGAATGGGCACTCCACCCACGCCAAGCAGGGTCTGAGCTATGAACATGATCCCCACCACGCTGAGGTGCTGGGCCTCCGTGTAGCTGGAACAGCTGTCATTGGAGGGAGTGGGGGCCGGGGCTGAGGTCATGGGCAGGCATAGGGAAGCCTCAGAGTCCTGTGACATATCCTCTGAGAAAGAATAAAAATGGGATCACAGCTAAGACAAGAGCACTTACCAGACTTTCGCAAATCACTGTTGTAGGCACTTTATACCAATCATTTGATCCCCTGGCAAACCTAGGGTACAGGTGCGCTCAGTACCCCATTTCACACACGAGGAAACTGAAGCTCAGACAGCAATCAGCAAGGGTCAGAGGAAGGACAGGACCCCGGGTGCTCTGACTTCAGAGCCCCTGACCTCAAACTGCCCTGTGTCAACTTTGTAAGCAGAGGCATCCGGAAGAGCCATGCAATGGTGGGGTGAAGAGGTCAAAAGAGGTAGAGTTTTTAAGTCCAGAAGAACAAACAAACAGGATTTTCCAAAAAGAGAGGGAAGGGCAGTGTTCCAGGGACAGGTCACGGTACAGGCAAAACCCTGAGCCGTGTGAGGACTCCGTGTCAGTAGAATGAGAAGTTTGGAACAGTGGATCATGAAGTGTGAGGGGCCAGACCAGGGCTTCTGACAGGGCCAGGCAGGGAAGGCAGTGCCCTTGTCACTCATTCTGGGGAGGGAGCACTGTCAGCTCAGGACACAGATGCAGAGCGCAGGAAAGGACAAGTTCTTAATTTAGTACCAGATGCCTGTTCCCTGTAGCTCACCAATATTTGGTGAGCAAACTTGAGGAGATCTTCACACTATTATTATCTCAGGTTTTTTGGTATAAATATGGCCCTCTGCCACTCCCTCAAACTGGAAAGAGCCATGGATCCAGGCCTCTATCAGAGGCTGCCCCAGCCTTGCTGTGTGACGTAGATGAGATCCCTCTGCTCCTCACCTCTGAAATGGATCTCCTAGAACTGATTCTCTAGAGATGAAGGACTCAAAAGCAGAATAATTCGGGAGTTCAGAGCAGGGCTCTGGGCACAGTTGACTAGCTGTGGGCCAGGGAGCTTCTCTTCTCTGAACCTCAGTGTCCTCACTGGTGAAGAAATAATGATGACACCTGCCTCTCGGGGAGAGTGGTGCCCCCCTCCCCGGCGTCTACTGGACATTAGATAATGGTGATTATTCTAAAGATTGTATTTGCCTTTCCCACCCCTGAGTCTCCAGTGGCTCACAGATGGCCCGCCACATAATACTGAGCAACATAAATACTAGAGGAAGGTGGAAAGATGAATGAAGTAGCCAGGAGTGTTCCAACAGGAAGGGGGCTCAGAGATCATGAGTCTCGCCCACTTGTTCAGCCAACTGCGTGACCCTGCACAGAAAAGCTGTGTTAAAGTGGAAATTCTCAGCAAAGAAATGCACGGAAGTATTATTTTTCAGCCTTCCAAGAAGTCCTATAGGTAACTGTCCATCAGGCCTGGATAACCACCCACATGCTTCAGGTGCACTCTAATTCCCCACTTCTCTGGCCCTGCCCACGTCCCGCCCTCCTCCTGCAATGCCCACCTTTTCTCCAGGGCAGCCACGGCCCACCTCCTGGCAGCTCCCTCCAGCTGGGAATGTCTTTCCTCAACCTAGACTTCTAATGGCTCCCTCCCAACGTCTCCTAAGGTGCTGGGCTCTGGACCTTGTAGCAGAATCGTCCACGCTGACCCCAACCCGCACTGAACTGGGGCATGTCTGCTTCATCTTCTCATCCCTGGGCTTAGCAGCTCCAGAGGTGGGGGCTGCTAGGGAGGCAAGGGAGGACGGGTGTTCTCCGACAGCTCTCCTGCCCTGGGGAACTTCCTGATGCTTGGCAAGGGCATGGCTCCCTCCCTGGCCTCCCTGCATCCCTGCGTCTCTCTCCCCACACAACTGACACACTGGGCTTTATATTTGTCTGTCTCTTTCCCAGACTGGGAGCTCGCTGGGGGCAAGGACTGAGTCCCCCAGAGTAGGCAGCACGGAAGTTCTATTACGGGCACTTCTGGTTGGCTGGGTGGCTGGGCTTGTGGGTAGGTGGGAGGATGGATGCGCAAGTAGATGAGCAGGAGGGTGGATAGGTGGATGAGCAGGCGGTGAGCCGGAGAGTGGGAAGGGATGGAGCGAATGCTCAGCTGCTTTGGTGGTTCTCTAAGAGACAGGTGTCTGTCTGTTAAGGAAGCCCACAACAAAATCCCACTGGGTTGAACAAGGTGCCGCTATTCCTGACTTAAACTCTTTCATTTTCTTATTTGTTCTCTCACTCATTCCTTCTTTCTTTCACCACTGTCTTGTGGGGATCAAATGCACGAATACACAGAAAGTGCTTAGACTGGTGTCCAGTGGAGAGGAGCTGCTGTGGGATACTGTTAATTTCTACAAGTATTTCTGAGCACCAACAATATGCCAGGCCCTAAAGTAGGCTGCATGGTAAATTGGCCCCTACCTCAAATAAGCTACAGGGGTATGAGCCCTCCCTGACCAAGAAAGGCCTGCAAGGGTTCACCCCTTTACCCTGGGGCTACCCCCTGCTTCCCTCCCCAGGCCTGCCAGAGACACCCACCCAGGCCTGGGGAGACAGTGGGGGTGGATGGAGAGGACTGGGAAGTGGGGACCCATCTTGCCTAATGTGAGCCTGCAGGTGGGCCCTGGTGCACAGGACTGTCATGCCTCATGTTGGTCTCCTGCCCTGCCCCTCCGGCTCTTACCAGGGCTGCTGTGGTCATAGCGGTACGGCTCCGAGATGAAGTGCGGGAGAGTCATCAGCAGGCCTGCCAGGGCCACCAGGACAGCCCCACAGCCAATCATACGGGGCCGGTGCACTCGGCTGCCGAAGTAGCTCACAAACACAATCAAGGCTGTGTTCCCCACCTGCAAAGGGATGAGGTGACCCATCAGAGTGGAGCACCAGACCCAGAGGCAAGGGCCTGCACCTCCATATTCCTATCTGTGTAATGGACTGGCTGGATGAAAAAGCATTATTTTGATCTCTCTTATAAACATAGATTCTGGGTCCTCCTAGGAAGGATCTCGCTGCCCCTTTAAGGAAGAGAAATGAGCACAAAGCTAGAAGATCAATTTCATTTAGGAACACGGAGGAGAATGGGCAGTGGAGAAAAATTTTTGATTTTGAGCTTCAGGACTTCATGAATGAGAGACTCAACAGAGAAAGTCTAAAGCCAGAGAATTAAGGCTTAGAATTTCCAACCTTTAAATCACAATCGTAGGGTGCTATGCTAGAGGGGACTTGTGGCCAGGTGTGTGGGCACGCCTGTAATCCCAGTGACTCAGGAGGCTGAGGCAGGAGGATTATGAATTTGAATGAATTATGAATTATGAACTTGCATGGGCAACTTAACAAGACCCTGCCCTAAAATAAAAATTACAAGGGCTGGAGATGTATTTCAGTGGTAAAACAATCTGGGTTCAATCCTTAGTACTGCATAAATGAACAAACAAACAAATAAATATATTTTAGAAAGGATCTGTGAGATTGCAAGGGAAGGTGTACCTTTGCCCCCCCACTTCCTGGCCAGTGACTGTGGGCAAGCTCCAGGGTCCGGGGGGCAGGGGAGTGGGGCCATATCAGCACAGGTTGTTGGTGGAACTGGCCCTGGGAAGGACGGTCATTGTCCATTTTATGGATGAACTGCCTTTCCCTTCTGAGATTTGGGGGTGGGGTGCTGAGGCACATTCTGGGACACTGCAGCTGGAAGGCTTTAGGTCTGGAGGAATATGACACAGTACCTAAGGGAGGGAATTTCACAGAAATCTGCAGGGGAGGGGCGGAAAGAGACTGATTCCTTCTCTGAGGGTGAAACATCTGTTGGGGTGGAGGGCTGGGCACAGCTGGAATCTGATCTCCTAATCCACCAGAGCAGCTATCCACTCCTCCTGTCTGGCTGTGGGCTGCAGGCAGAGGCCTGTCTGCTGCTCCCAGGACAACTCTGAGGACAGACACTCCTCCAAGGCATCACCCTGCCACACTCCAAGGTCAGAGAGTTCCCTGGCTGTAACGAAAGCCTCTCTGGAGACAATAGAAGTGACTTTCTCGAATTCCTTCTTGGGACAGCCAATAGCTAGGTGTCTGAGAAAGTAAAGGAGGCCAAAGATGAGTGGATGGGTTGGGGACCCTGCCTCGCTCTAAAACATCTGGTGCCCTCCAGCCAAGTGCTCCTAAGGGCAAGGCTGCAGGGTCTTAGAGAACAGCTGCAAACAGGATGACGGTTGGGGGCAGGAGGGGCCTGCTCTGTCTGCACTATGGCTGGCCAGTTTCTGGGCCAGGACAAGGTGGGAGGGGAAAGCTAAGGAGGGTTTCAGGGAGGGCAGTGTTGGGGGGCTGCCCTAGGCCTGGGAAGGAAAGAGTCGTAATAGAGGAGGTTGGTGGAATCTAGGGGTGTGAGCCTCCTTTGGGGTCCACCCCTGTGGCTGGGCCAGGGCCAATACCTCGTTGAAGGCGGCCAGCAGCCCCGAGGTCTGGCTGGAGAGGCCAAAGCGCTTCTCCACCGTGGAGATGGAGCTCTTGAGGTAGCCGGAGATCATGAGCTGTGCCAGCTGCAGCAGGCTGTGGCACAGGACGAAGAACTGCAGGAGGAACACAGAGATGGCCACGGGTGGAGGGACCGGGAGACAGCGGAGGATACAATCGGAGACGGGAGGTGGCGGGGAGACAGAGGGATGGAACAGAGGAGGATGAGGACGGGAGAGGATGAATGAAGGGGTAGGGATGGGGGAACCAGAGTCAGAGGAGGCCACACACAGGTGGACAGAAAGGGAGGGAGAGAGAAGAGAAAGGAGACAGAGACGGAAGTGGATGTGTCAGGGTGGGGAGGGAATGTGCAGGTGGGGGTGGGGTGGGAGTGGGGGGTACTTAGTTAGTTATTAGAATAGCCCAAGGCATCTCACATAGGCCTCAAAACTACACAAACTGTCCTGGGGTCTAAGGGCTACCAGAGATCCATGTGACTCAGAGTGGAGTCTCCACAGGGCCGGGAATGGTGGGGGCCCTCTTGACCCTTAGAGATCCGCTCACACCGACCTGGACCTTCCTCCCTGTTTTACCACCCTGCCCCTTTCCTGTAAACTCTCCCAAATTGGCCCATCTCCTTTCCCACCCCACTGTTACTCAGTTCTCCCTAGAGCTACTGCACTGGCGACCACCCACACACACTGAATCCCCAAGCCACCCAATCCTACCCCACCCTAAACATCCCGGTCTGTCTGTGCTCCTCCTGCTAAAAAACTGGCAGAATTCCCAAGAAAACTTGCTTCAAAGAATTAAAAAACAGAGTATTCATGTCAGAGCTTAATCTATTCACTTCAAGCCGCATGTGGTGGTGCACACCTATAATCCTGGCTACTCAGGAAGGCTGAGGCAGGAAGATAGCAAGTTCAAGGTCAGCCTGAGCAACTTAGTGAGTCTCAAAATAAAAAATAAAAGGGCCAGAGGAAATAGCTCAATGGTAGAGCACCCCGGGATTCCAAAAACGAAAAATCATGCACGAATACCACCTGGCACAGGGTCTGACACCCAGTAGGTGTCAGTGACAGTGATGCTGGATGGTTAGTGCCACCCTTGTGGAGCCAGGCCTCCTTGGGTACTTCGTTTCTCTAGAGAAACAGGAGGCGAGTGTCCTGGTCCTCCACTGTCCACAGGACAACCCCTCTTTCATCGCTGGTAGGAAAGGACATGTTCTGGACACTGTCTATGAACCCAAATCCAAGCTAAAAAGTGTTTTCAGAAATTGTCCCCTAGATCCTCACAACCAAGGGCCCTCCAGGTGAGGAAACAGAGGAAGGCAGAAACTGGCCTCATTACACAGCCCAACCTGCAGGGCTGGAGGCCCGGCCCCGCCTGGCCAGAGAGGTACCTTGATGCTGTGAAACACACGAGGTCTCAAGTTCTGAGGCTCTGAGCTGGCTTTGCCTCCATATGTGTCTTCTGTGTCCATGGTGGCCTTGCTGTCCTTGTCTGGCATCTGGGGCCCCTCGCCTGCTGGCCCTGTGGGACAACAGCCAGGGGGTGAGATGAAATTCCAGAGAATGGCCCTGACCTCAGTTTCAGGGGGAAGGGACTTTGGAGGTTGGTGGGAATCTGAGAACCAGAGCACTCTCAGCCTCCCTGGCTCCTAGTGCTGGAAGGGACCTTCCTAAGAGGGGGCGTGTGCCATGTGTTGTGAGCCAGATCTCACTGAGGACCATCTCCTCTACACCCTCACTGTTCCCAGCATAAACCTCCCTTCTGAGGAGAGGCTGCAGAGCTCTGCACACAGCACACCCTTGAGCAGTGGCCCTGTCGCATCGCAGGATGAGCCACAGGGTCTCAGCCACCTTGGGCTTCCAGCTAAGGCACTCTGTCTTCTTGCAGGCTGAATCTGGGCTTGGGTGGGTCTGGCTCAGTCCAGAACCAGGGGTCTGGGGTCAAGTGTAGGGTCAAGGCTTGGCTCAGAGTCAGGGAATAAAGGCTTGGGTGTATTTTGGAACAGATACCAACCCCCCTCCATGGTCCCACCCTGCATGTGGTCAGAGCTAACCAGTCCACTCCCTGGATCATGCCATTAAACCTGGTCAGTGCTGAAAGGACCGTCAGAGCTCATCCCATTTAACCCCCTTCTGGACAAACAGAGACCAAGTGGGACGATGACTCAGAAGGCAGAGCTGTCTTGGCCCCTTGGGCTCCATTGCTCTTGTTGACTTTCCTCCCATGGTAACTATGGCAACCATGTCAGCATCCCACTCTCACAGTGAGAGCAGCCAGATGGCCCTCAGAGGCACCCCTAGGCTCTCCTGACTCGACTCTTCATGGGGAGCCCAGAAGTCCAGTCTTGGGAGACAGCCTGGCCGTTTAGATGGAGACCACCTGCCTCTCCTGGCAGCCCAGGCCTCCCATCCTCCCCTCGGAGTCTCCACTTCCTGCAGGAGGGCCCGCCATTGTTTCCCGCCCCTCCCACAGCAGGCAGCAGCTTCCCCTCATTCAACAGACTTCTGAAACCTGGAAGCTGACCTGAGGACACTCTGGCCCCAGGGACTGCCTCCCACCCGGTCTCCAGCCTTGGAAGACCAACTTGGGGAGGGCTACCGAGGCCCAGAACCAGGTTTTGTGCCCCTCACACAAGGTACCTGGGAGCCCGAGGACTCTTTTTAAACATTGAGATTTAATTCCCATGTCATAAAATCCACTCTTCAGAAGTTAACGATCCACTGGTTTTTACTATATTCACAAAGCTGCACAACCATCAATGCTATCTAATTGCAGAACATTTTATTACCCCAGTAGGAAGCCCCATATCATTAGCAGCTGCTCCCCATTTCTCCCAACCTACAGACCCAGCAACCACTAATCCACTTTCTGTCCCTATGGGTTTGCCTGCTCTGATGTTTAATACAATGAAATTGTACAACATGTGGCCTTTTGTGACTGGCTTCTTAACATAGTGTCTTCAAGGTTGGTCTCTGTTATAACTTGTATCAGTGCTTCATTCCTTTTTATGACTGAATAGTACTCCGTTGCGGGCATAAATCATTTATTCATTAATCGGTTGATGAACACCTGGGTTGTTTCAGAGATTATAAGGATTCATGTACCAACGTTTCCGGTGACATACATGTTCAGTCCTCTTGGGTCCATAACTAGGAGTGCAATCACTGGGTTGTACGGTAGTTCTATATTGAACTGTTTGAGGACCCACAGAACTGTTTTCCACAGCGGCTGCCCCATTTTACATTCCTGCCAGCAATCTATGATGGTGCCAATTTTTCTATACCTCTGTTAACACTTGTCACTGTCTGTCCTTCCACTGATAGCCATCTAGTAGGAGTGGCATGGTGTCTTCTGTGTGGTTTGGCTACTGATGGTGAGCGTCTTTTCACGGGCCTCTTGGCCATTTGTGTAGCTCTGGTGGGCACTGTCTGTGCCAACGGCTTGAGGAATTTGAGGGAGGAGATGGAAGCGCATGTGTCTGGGGAAGAGCTCTGTTTTTGGACATAAACACTTGGAGGAAATAAGAAAAACCAACACCTGGCTGGGAGGAGCCTGAGGGTTGGCCCAGGAAGGGAAGTGTGGGGAGATTCTACAGAGGGCACCTGAAGGACAAGAGGAGATAAGGCTGTTCAAAGCCAATGTCCCAGAGACTGAGAGGACCATTTCTGAGCCTCAGCTTCTCTCACCAGCAGAGACCTGTCATCTGCCACCATCTGGATTCTATGCCATAGGCTTCAGCCCATGAACCAATCCAGGGGTCTGTGCCTCTCAGACTTTATTGTCTGTGCTTCTAATGAGGATACCCAAGCTCAGAGGAACCCCATTCTGCTGGTGGACCCTTGTCCAGGGGCTCAAGCTTAACATCCCTTGATGTCCCTTGAACAGGTTTGCTGAGAGAAGGAAGCACAGTCCTCTTCTCTGCCTTGCCCCACCTCGTAGGCAGCCCCGAGGCCAGGCCAATGCTGGGAGGGCCAAAGACATTGACCTGAAGCCCCTGCTTCGAAGGAAATTCAGGAATGGATGGGGGAGGGACAGGCCAGCTCAGCACATGTGGCCCCTGGGGCACAGTGGAGGTCAGGTGACCACCCTGAAGCTTCCACCTCACCTTCTCTGCCAAAACTCAAAGTCTTCCTGGGATTCCTCTACCCTCTAGCAATATGGCTGCTACCGAGGACAGGATCCACAGCCTTAGCCTGTGGATGAGGAAGAGAGCACTGGCCAGGTCCTGGACTCTAAGAGCAGTGATGGCCCCCAGCATCTACCAGCTGGAAATCTCATTTACTAGGCAGCTGGCTGGCCAGGGCCTCCTGTGCGGCCACCCCTGTGAGCAGGAGTCTGTATGTTTCCTTCCAGCTGAGTCCAGTGATACCGGACAATGTTTCAGAGACCAGCCTGAAGGCAGGGCCCCTTGGCTCTGCCTGATCTCTGATGAGAAGCTCAGGACCTTGCCTCTTTCTACTTCCTCCACAGGCAAAAAGCAAATTCCAGGGAAATGAGGAACTGAGTATATAGGCTTTCTGTCCTCAGACTGTGTTGGAATCCCCACTCCAGCACCCTGGGCTCTGTGTGAGCCTGACACACCTCTTGTCTTTCTCAGCCTGTTACCTCACCTGTAAGGAGAGGATGATTGTATCTACAAAGAGGGTTTAGGATGTGCTACCCCCAAATATGGCATGTTGGCATTTGAGAAAGCAGAAAGTAGAAGGGCCTCACCAAACCCTGTCCTTCTCCCTTCCAGCAGACATAAGACCTAGGAAGGTCACTGACCCTTCCCCTCTGAAGTATGTTATAAAACCCTCATTTGAAAGCTGCCTTCCCTATATATAGAGAGAAGGCACATCCTCATCTTTGAAGATACAGAGAAGACTTAAAACAAACAAGTTTGCTAGATTTCCCTCAGTTCATTACTATTACCTCATACAGCCTTTGTCCTATCATACTTCTCCACAATTATAGAGCTCTTCATCAAACTTTGCATTAAAAATATACAGGTTTCCCCGTTTCTTTGGATCATCATTATTGAAGGCTCCCACGTCATGTACAATTTATATTAAATAAGCTGGGCATGACGGTGCACACCTATAATCCCAGCAACTCAGGAGGCTGAGGCATGAGGATTACAAGTTTGAGGCCAGTCTCAGCATCTGAGTGAGACCCTGTCTCAAAATAAGAAATCGAAACTCCCAAGGATGTAGCTCACTGGTAAAGTGCTCCTGGGTTCAATCCCCAGTAACAACAACAACAAAATAATATTAAATAAACGTGCTTTTCTGTTAATCTATCTCTTTTTTTTAATGTGAAAATGAGTTGCTTTTATTTACTGTTAGAAACAACTTTAGGAAAATGATTTGCATCCCTCTATAGAGGGACTTGCTTAAGTAGCTAAGGAAATAGCTGTTGTATGAGAAAACACGTAAACTAGCTTCACTGCCCCCAGCCTCGTTTCTTCTTATCCGTCTTGGGTTAATCTATTTTTTGTTGTCGTTGTCTCAGCCATGGATCTAGTGGTGGAGGAGGACAAGAAATCATTCCTTCCCTGCACCAAGGGGATGATGTAGGTAGGGCACCTGGCTCCCTGCCTGGCACACGGTGAGCCTTGTTTCCCTCCCCGTTCCTCACAAATCTTCAAGCACCCCTAAGGTAACATGGTCCAATGGGAGCCGTCCCCTTCCACGTACCCAGTGATGCTCACGGTGTCCTCCTCCAAGGGAACTCTTCTATCCGAACATCGCCATCGTCCATCTCTGGACTGGCTCTCTCTCTCTTGCCCAAGCCCCAGTCACTGACAGGTCTGAGGACCTGGACCCCTCCTCTCCGTGCTCCCTCTGCAGCCCCACCATGTGGCCTTAGGTCAGCAGCCCCTTGGATTCCTCATCTGCAATGCAATGACTATGAGCCCTCCTCCCGGGCACACAGCAGTCACTGAGAGCCTAAAGGGTCTACCTGGCGGTTGACCTGGGCACCTGCGTCCCCTGAAACCACACCTTCCTCTCCACATTGCCGTGATGGTGCCATCCCGTGTTTCTCTTCCCAGCCTTCCTGGCCCAAGCAGACAGATGGACTGTTCACTATGAGGACTTCATGAAAGTCCCCAACCCACTCATCAAGAGAACCCATCCATAAACTGCTGGCCTTTGAGTCCCTTCCGCAAATCTTCTCCTTGCCGTAGTTTCCAACGCTGATCCCGTCCTGATCACCCCCACCTTCTATCCTGAACTGAAAGGCTTCAGAACACAATTTGTCTTTCTTCATAAACACCCACCTTCCTCACCGCCGTGGTGGAGCCCGTAGTGCTGTCAGCAATACACTTTGCCACGTGGACAGGTTGTGCTGGTCAGGCCTGGAGAGCCAGCAACGACAGGATGAATGTTGGTGTTCACTAAATGTTGCTCCTTTCCCTATCAGGCAGCCAGTCCTTCTGTCAGCTGTCTGTCCTTCTGCCACAACGCTCCCCCTCCCCCAGCTTCCAGACTTGCTTTGTGGCAGCAACAAGCACTGCTACATGGAGAACTGGAGAAGCA